ATTGAATTTTTAAATTTTATATTAAAATTTCAGTTTTAAATATAAATTGAAATTTTAATTCTTTTAAAAGTGGGATTAATACGTATTATTCTTTTAATTAACTAATTAAAAAATTATAAAAGTTGACTTTAAATTAATTAATTAATCAATTAAAATCATTTTACCGTATTAATAGTATTAAAATAAATATCAATTTTTATTTTTTTATATAAATTAATTATAAAAAATTATATTTATCACACTTTTAATTTATATATTCAAGATAAAAATTAGATAAACACTATATTAATTTTAACATCAAAGTTAATACAAGGGAGGGAAGTTCGATTCTGTTGGATGGCAACATCAATTCTTTTCTTTCAAAAATAAGATAAATTTAATTGTTAGCAAATCATTTCAATAAAAGAGGTAACGTCCTAGTGGCGAAAGTCACAGAAAATCCTCTTGAAGTCATGTGTTCAAGCCCCCAGGTAGCAAATTTAAGGTAAATCCTTTTAAGGATTTAAACCGTTCGGTTGAACGGTTTTTCGATTTGTACCGGTTCAAACGGTTTTATCGGTTTTGAGTGGTTCAACCACTCTACCGGTTCTAAATGTTGACCCGATCCTTTTTAATACCGGGTACCGGTCCGACTAGTTCAACCAACAATGCTCTAAAATAGTAAAATCCCTTCATTCTCCCGCTTCTCCTCTGAAGTCCCTAGCCCTCAAACTCGATTCAACCCTCTTTTCTTACTGGAATTCCATTCTTATGCTTCGGTAAGTGAACTCAGTAAAGTTTCTTCTTCTTTTTTTCTTTTTTGATGAAGTCCCTTTGTTCCTTCGCTGGTATCCTAATCCTACAGTCTAGGATCTTCGATCCCCTATAGCATGGGCAAAGCTTTGGAGGCGGGATGAGCAGGCTCCCTGGACAACCCCCTCCCTTATCCCCTTCGATAGCCTACGATTCTTGGCTATTTACGAGGCTCTCAAGTTGACCCTACTGCTACCCAACCCTCAACTGTGCTTTATGCGTCACCAGAGCCATAGGTGTCATTTGTCTGTTGGGTTGCTATAAGGGATCTTGTTTTTTGATGAAGTCCCTCTGTTCCTTCACTCATTAGGTATCCTAATCCTACAGTCTTAGGATCTTAGATCCCCTGTAGCATGAGCAAAGCTTGGGAGGCGAGATGAGCAGGTTCCCTGGACAACCCCCTCCCTCATCCTCTTTGATTCTTAGCTATCTATGGGGCTGTCAGGTTGACCCTGTTGCTACCAACCTTTCACTGCGCTCTGTGCATCACCAGAGCCAAAGGTGTCGCTTATGTATTGGGTCGCTGTAGGGGATTTTGTTATTTCCTAAAATCAAGGGTTAGGTTTTCAGTTTTGTGGGTTTGGTTGCTTTGGTATATTTAGTGGATTTTTTTGGAATAAGAACAGCTAAGTTTTTCACTGGATGGCTTTGTGTCTATATGCTTCAAGCAGGGTTTGGTTTTTGTTATTTCTTAAAATCAAAGGTTACGTTTTCACTTTTCTTGGGTTTTGACTTTGCAGGGATGGAGAATAGTGAGAACACTGAGAAGTCAAAGGAGGGGACAAACTCAGGCACAATAGCTGCAGCAGATAATACAACAAAGAACACGACTGATGGAAGCACAAATGCAAAATCAGACCAAGCAAAGAGCAACGCTGCCACTGCTATTGGTGCTACCCGACCATCCCTTTCAGTCCAAAGAAAACCCATGAAACGCAAGGTATGGGTATGGAAATTTTTTGATGAGTTTACTGATGAGAATGGTAAGACTAGGGCTTGGTGTCATTTCTGTGATTGTGATTTGGCTGCTGAGTCTAGAACCAATGGAACTACTCCATTGAAAAACCATTATAATAGCTGCAAAATGAATCATGTTAATGTTATGGTTCAACAGATTTTACTTAACTTCCAAAAAGTGTTAGAGGTTGATGATGTAGATGGTAGAGAAGTAACTCAATTGACAACAACATCACGAAAATTTGATGAACAAGCTGTTAGGAAAGTATTAGCTAAGATGCTTATTGTTGATGAGCTTCCATTTTCCTCTGTTGAACATCCTGGATTTGTAAAGTTCTGTCAAGTAGCTTGTCCTTTATTTAATATCGCATCTCGTAGGACTATCACAAGAGACATTTTAAGCATTTACTCTAACATGAAAGAGGATTTGAAAACATATTTTAAGAATGGAAACCAAAGAGTATCTTTAACAACTGATACATGGACATCACTACAAAGGGCTTCTTATATGTGTGTGACTGCTCATTGGATTGATGCTAATTGTTGGTTGCGAAAAAAAATTCAGAGTTTTGTTCCTGTTGATAGTCATAAAGGTGATGCTTTAGGTGACATGCTTGAGAGATGTCTTAGAGAGTGGGGGATAGATAAAGTGTATTGTGTTACTTTAGACAATGCTAGTGCGAATGATGGACTGGTTAGACACTTAAAAGGGTGCTTGCAAAAGTGGGGAACTAGTATTCTTGGAGGGCAAGATTTGCACATGAGGTGTGCTGCCCACATTATAAATTTGGTGGTTAATGATGGATTCAAAGAGATGCAACCATCTGTTAATGCTGTTAGGGCTGCAGTACGATATGTGAGGGAAAGTCCAATGAGGCAGAAACTGTTCTTTGAATGTGCAAAGTTTGAGAAGATTGAATGTGAAAAGATGTTGTCTCTAGACACTCCAACTAGATGGAATTCCTTGTACTTGATATTAGAAGTTGCTGAAAAGTATGAGCTTGCATTTGGTAGGTCAGTTGTAGTTCTATTTCAATTTTTTAGTTTATTTTTAATGTTATTTCAATTTTTACTTTAATATAAATGATATTCCCTTTGCTGCCTATAGTATAAATTTGATAATTTATGTCATTTCTGTGGTAGTTTATTTTTAATGTTATTTCAATTTTTACTTTAATATAAATGATATTTCTTTTGCTGCCCATAGTATCAATTTGATAATTTATGTTATTTTGTCATGTTTTACCTCCTAGCTTTGCAAGAAGAGATGCTCACTATGAGGATGCTTTAGATCATGCTATTCCAACTCATGAGGATTGGGAGAATTGCAGAAAATTAGTGGATTTCTTGGGGCACTTCTACTGTATGACCTTGAAGGTGTCAGGAAATTGGTATGCCACTTCAAACCTTTACTTTCTAGAAATTTGTTCACTTGATGCATTGTTAAAAGAATGGGAGGAGTTGAGTGATATAGATTTGGTCATGCTTACAATCAAAATGAGAGACAAGTTTGACAAATATTGGGAAACTCCAGTTGAAATGAATAAGAATATATTTATTGGAATGGTGTTGGACCCTAGATACAAATTAGAGTATGTTTAGTTCATGTTGAAGGAAATACATGATAGAGATGGTAAAACTGGATTAGGAAGTAAATTTGGGCAGCTAGTGAAGGATGAGACTTATAAGCTATTTGAGGAGAATAAGAAAAGGATACAGGGAGTGGGAACTGGCAGTAGCAATAGCAAATCCCTTTCCAATTCCAATGTAAATTCTTCCGGTGAGAATTCAGTTTCTAGTGTCACTGCTGGTGGTTCAAGTGTCTCAACAAGTGTGGAGATGAATCCATCACAAAGATGGCAAGAGAAAATGAAGATGAAATACAAGAAGTATAACAATGACAATGGTGCTACCAGTGAACAATCTGAACTAAATAAGTACTTGGCAGAAGCTGTTGAAAAGGACAACCCAGATCTAAACATTTTAGCTTGGTGGAAGCTGAACTCACCTAGATTTCCCGTTCTTGGTGCAATGGCTAAGGACGTATTAGCTGTGCGAATATCAACTGTGGCCTCGGAGTCTTGTTTTAGCACTAGTGGTCGTGTGCTTGATGCTTTTAGAAGCTCTTTAACACCAAAAACAGTTCAGGCTTTAATCTGTGCTCAAGATTGGTTGAAGCCAAAGGGAAATCTTGTATTCGATGAGGAAGATTTAGACAACCTGTTAAACATTGAACCATGTACAATCACTTTTTTTTTTAACTTGATTTGCTTTCCTTTTTTTTTTTTTTTAACTTAATTTGTTATTTAATTGAGTAATTAAGTATTTATAATAATGGAACATATTCTGATTTTATTTCATAACAGGTGTTGAGAAGCTTGGTTTGGAGGTAACTCTGTTGGGATGTTAGCATGAACATGTTTGTTATTTTTAGATTACCTTAATTTCCAATTATATATTCTCTTTTATGCTCTAGGATTTGACATTTACCTTTGAATCTTTTTTTATAAACAGATTTTCTTTTTGGACAATGGAAGGCAGAAGCTACTGAATGTGGATACTCTGATGTTGGCTAACTTTATTGTGTAGACTGCAGACTGCAAAGTGCTGACTTTTTTTTAGTTTAAGTGAGATAATGACTTCTTTTTAGTTTAAGTCAGATAATCACTTCTTTTGGAACAATACTTTGCAATAGTTAGATATTTGCATAGATAGTTTGGTTGGTGCTTGTGGTTAATTGCTAAATGGTTTTTTGAATCTTTTGATATCATATAGGCATATAGCACATTAGCAGTTGTAAATTGTTATATTTTGTTCTAGCATACTAGCAGGCTAGTAGACTAGCAACTTTAATCTGTTCTGTTTGTGTATTTTTGATTTAGCACTGGCACCAACCAAGTTAATGAAAAATGAAATTGAATGATCCATCATAGATTGTTTATTATAAATTTATAGTGTTTGACTGTTTATTATTTGTTGTAATCATCTTATATAGTTATTAGTTACTAGTTATTTTGAATTAGTATATTGACTGATGAAATTTATTATTCATTCTTAGGTTTTAAAATAGATATTTAGTTTTTCTTTTATGTTCTTTGTACTTAAATGAAAAAACATAGCCATCTTCCAAGTTATCTGTCAATGGAAGGTATTTTAATTAAATTTTCTTTGTTTTTGATTTTGAAATTAGTGAAAAACTCACAGATTAAAAAAAAAAACTAAGAAAAATGAGAATTTGAAGAAAGGATAAAAGCTCGGTTACAGTATTTGTGAATGGTAGGCATATTTTAACTAAATTTTCTTTGTTTTTGATTTTGAAATTGGTGAAAAACTCACAGGTTAACAAAAAACTAAGAAAAATGATGAATTTGAAGAAAGTGTAAAAGTTCGGTTACAGGTTGAAAAACGAAAAAAAAAAAAAACAAAAATCAGACAATTTCGGTTAAAAATTTCTAACCGAACTATAACTATAACCCAAATAAAATTTCGGTCAAAACAGTTCGATTACAGTTTGAAAGAATTGAAAACCACATTATAATAGTAACCAAAATAAATATCCGAATGTCATTCGGTTCAGTGTATGGTTCTTTCATTGCATAACCGAATTAATTCGGTTACTATTAATTTCAGTTCAGTTCGGAACCGAAAATCCGAATGCCCACCCTTACTTAATATGACGCTCTATAGATACTCCATAGATTTTGTAGAAGTTGATAAAAGTCACCCCGTTAGGAATTTGCTAAGATCTTTCTCATCTTGCATCACATGAATAACAACTCTTAGTGGGTAGATACTGAACAACTAGCTAGTGTGAAAAGTGACATAATCTTTAATTTATATTAGAACCCTAATAATATTCTCTTATACAAAGGGCCTATTAGGTTCAAATTTACACTAACTATCTCTACACCAACTCACGAAATGTTCTAAATCCGCACACAAATAATCACAATAATTAAGTTTCTCACAAATATCTTAATATTTTAGACTAATATAAATCAACTTATTTTTTGAAATCAAAATCACCATTAATAAAAGCCCACATAAATAGAAAATTTGTAACATAGCGTTCAATTATTGGGGCGGTTTTTTTTTTTTTTTCCTGTATCTTTTTAGGCTTTGATTAGTCTGGCTGCAGCCATGCAATAAGCGTAGGGTGGGGACATTTGACTACGAGTTGAAGCTGGGAAAAATCAGGCTGCTGCTTTTTTTTTTTTTTTCTTTTTTAATGTATTACAATTTTTTTGATACAAAGGGGTGCACCTTACGATAACACATATAGTCATCAGGTTACGGAAAGGCAGCTACTTTAGAACAAAAAAGACAATAAAATTTCATTTTTCCAATGCACGTTTTCTTTTTATGGTAAGTGTTGGAATAGGCCCAACAGGCCCAACGCCTAAACAGGACTGTGCATAATGGGCCTAGACTACCACCCATTAGCTCAAGCTGAAGGAGCATCAGTACAAGCGTACCCACGTGACCAATGCCACGTGGGTCAAGGGGATGCTCACACATGCAGATGTATGTCAGCACCAAGGGGCTATAAATACCCCCCAACTACCTCCGATGAAGGTAATTAATCTCTACGCTTCTCTCTCTGCAATTACTCATTGAGAGCATCTCTCTCTAGAATATAGAGTATTGCTGACTTGAGCGTCGGAGTGTTTTCCCTGAGGAAACATCCTCGGGATTTTCAGGTGTAGAAGTAGCTGAAGACTTCAACAGTGTTGGATTGTGAAACTGCCCAAACATTTGGCGCCGTCTGTGGGAAACTGAACAAGAAGTTGTGTGACTTAACCTGTTGAAAGACAAAATGGTCCGTACCTTTACAGGAGGTCGCCTTCCAAGAAACGAAATGGACGAACAGGAGGACACTCACGTATCTGAGCCCGGTTTGAATGACTTTAGGCCAATGCCAAGAAATCTTTTTGTAGCGGGAGCCGAACAGGAACACCTAAGGGAAACCGATGATGATGAAAGAACACCAACGGGGTATGCAACCCAGCCTGAACAGTTCCAAGTTCCAACAGGAACAAGGTCAAGACCTTCTAGACCATACAATTCACAGCGTGAACGACCTGAAAGGTCAACAGAACCTGCTTGGACAACCGAGCTCGAAGAGAGAACCAGAATCCTGGAAATGGCAATGGGTAAAATCCTTGCCCGCCTGATTCCGGATGACCCCCTGATTCCTCTGTTAAACAGGGATGCACAACCAGCTACGGTGGTTGCAACTCGAAACTCCCCTGCTCTAAGCAACGTAGTGGTGCCGACCAGGCCAAGGGGAAGTGGGAAGTTGAATAACGAACCCAACTCGTCCAAACATAGTGAAGAGTTGATGAGAAAAAACGCAGACCTTGAAAGGCAGCTGCGGGACGTACAGAAGTCCATTGACGAGCTGAAAAGTCCTAGGTCGCACCAACAAACCCTTGATTTGGATAGTGCTCCATTGAACCTATCCATCATAGCAGAACCATATCAAGAGGGATTTAAGATTCCCCACCTAGAGACATATGATGGCTCGGGCGACCCAGATGAACATCTGCATACCTATCAAGCCATCATGAGGATTCAAAATGCCAATGATGCCATGATGTGCAAAGTGTTCCCAGCGACACTGAAATCAACAGCTAGAAGATGGTATCACAAACTCCCCAGAGATTCTATAGACTCATACTCTCATCTCGCCAAGCTATTCTCCAACAAATTCGCGAGCCAGAGAGAGATCAAACGCACAGCCACCGAGCTGATGCAAGTTAATCAAAGGGAAGGGGAATCTCTGAGGGACTACATGCAGCGATTCAACAAAGCCACTTTGGACATTGACAACGTCCCAGACACCATTTGTCTATCTGCATTGCTACATGGCTTGAAGCGTGGTCGGTTCCTAGACGACCTGCTGGAGAACCCACCCAGGACTTGGAACGAAGTGAATGATAGGTCGGCTAGCTTCATATTATCAGAAGACTTCCAGTCGTCCAAGAGACGAGCTGATGATAAGCAAAGCAAAATCCAGGAACAGCCACCGAGAAGGGAAGAAAAGAAGAAACAGAAAGTCGGCGAGCAGTGGGGGAAGCTCGCTGACTTCCCAAAGTATGCCAATTACATTCCTTTAACCCTGCCAAGGTCCCAAATCCTTGCGCAAATCCAGCATTGGGTTAGGAGACCCCCGCCTCCATTGCATGATTCCCCAAGAGCAGATAAGAGCAAACATTGTGACTACCATCGTGTGTATGGCCACAATACAAAAGACTGCCAACACTTGAAGGATGAGCTGGAATTTCTGGCTCGCAATGGAAAATTAGAAGGATATGTTCAGAAGCCCCACGCCCAACTACCCGCTCAAACTCATTTTGTGCAGGGTTACGACCGACCTCAAGGGCAGAGGTACCAGCTCGACGGGGCACAGAATGTATATCAGGATAGCCAGTATCCTTCTGACCAGGGAAGGGCATACCGGGGACGTCCGTTCAACAGGAGAGGACAGGGGCAGAGGGCTGCTGCCCAGAACCAAAAGGATAAAAAGGGGGTAGGCTATGCTGGGATACCCCCGCCCTCGGGTACATTAAACATGATATCGCGCGGTGTTCACTCTGGGGGCCAAAGCGCCCGAGCCCACAAGGCATACGCCAGACAGGTGATGACTGTCAACAAAAACAGACCCTTGAAACGACCATTTGAGGAAGCAGAATGGGAAAATACGCCCATCAGATTCAGCCCGGCAGATTACGAGCGAGCAGAAGGAGAGCCTGACATTATGATGCCCCATGCCGATCCCTTTGTGGCAACAGTTCATATAGGCAATCATAATGTCAATAAGGTGTTTATTGACATTGGCAGTTCACCAGATATCCTGTACTGGGGTTGCTTCCAGAAGATGCAGCTAAATCCGAGCTCGCTGCAGAAGCACGAAGGGCCAATATACGGGTTTGATAACCAGCCCGTCCCGGTTGAGGGAGTTATTACTCTTCCTATATATGTGGGCTCAGAACAGCGCTTCAGGATGGCTTCTGTCACTTTCCTGGTCGTTAAGATGGAATCAGCTTTCAATGCTATATTGGGAAGAGCCACTCTGTGCGAGCTGAAGGCTGTTATCTCACAGCCCCATCTCTGTATGAAATTCCCAACTCCTCAGGGGGTAGGAGTGCTGAAAGGGAATCAGAAGATGGCCAGAGCCTGTTATCAAGACACGTTCAAGAAGGTCGAGCTCGCTGTAGCCCGGGCGAGTGCGGAAGGTCGTAAGCCAACCCAGCTCGGTCAACAGACAATGAGTATATCAAACATTGAGCATCGACCTGAGAGCGTTGAGCAAAAGGCAGAGCCAGTAGAGCCAGTGGAAACGATGCCTTTAAACCCGGATGTGCCGGAGAGAACAGTGAAGATCGGCACTAAACTCACAAAGGAAGAGCAGGCAGAACTTCTGGAATTTCTGAGGAATAATCAGGATGTATTTGCGTGGACTACGGATGAAATGCCTGGCATCCCAGCAGAATTGACAGTCCACAAGCTCAGCACGGACCCCACCAGAAGGCCGGTGGTGCAAAAACACCGCCTTTTTGGCCCTGAGAAGCAAGCTGCCATTGACGAGGAGATACAAAAGCTGCTACAGGCAAGCTTCATCAGAAGAGTGGAATACTCTGAATGGGTCTCCAACCCTGTGCTCGTCAAAAAGCCAAACGGCAAATGGAGGATGTGTATTGATTTCACCAATCTCAATGACGCATGTCCAAAAGACCCTCACCCGTTGCCAAACGTAGAGAAGTTAGTAGAAAGGGCAGCAGGACAAGAACGGATGAGTTTTCTTGACGCAAGCTCGGGTTACCACCAGGTCCAGTTGTTGCTAGACGACCAGGAAAAAACAGCTTTTTACGCTGGTGACGCAATTTACTGCTATGTCATGATGCCGTTCGGCCTCAAAAATGCTGGAGCAACATACCAAAAGCTGGTGCAAATCATCTTTAAGCTCCAGATCAGCAGAAACATAGAAGTGTATGTAGATGACATGATAGTCACCAGCGTGCGAGCTGAGGATCACATTGGCGACCTGGATGAAACTTTTCAAAACTTGCGCCGAGCACAAATGAAGCTGAATCCCTTGAAGTGTACGTTTGCTGTGGAATCCGAGAAATTCCTAGGGTACGTGGTATCCAAGAAAGGAATTGAAGTAAATCCAGAGAAGGTGCAGGCCGTTTAGCAGATGGAACCCCCCAAGACAGTAAAAGATGTACAGCGTCTGACAGGTCGGGTGGCTGCGTTGCACAGGTTTATAGCCAGATCGGCAGAAAGGTACCTTCCGTTCTTCAAAGCTCTGCAGGAGCCTAAAAACTTTCAATGGACCGATGAGTGTCAACAGGCGTTTGACGAGCTCAAACAGTATTTGGCATCCGCACCCCTGCTGTCCAAGCCTGTCGATGGGGAATGTTTATATTTGTATCTGGGGGTCACAGAAGAGGCAGTGAGTTCGATTCTACTGAGGGAGGAGAATAAGAATCAGAAGCCTATCTGCTATGTGAGCAAAGTTTTACAGGGCGTCGAACAGAATTATCCATTAGCAGAGAAGGCTGCTTTTGCCCTGGTTTACACAGCTCGTAAGTTGAGAGCCTACTTCCAATCACACCAAATTGTTGTCTATACCGATTTGCCGTTGAGGAAGATACTGCAAAAACCAGAACTCTCTGGTCGGCTGATTGGATGGAGCATCGAGCTGAGTGAGTACGATCTCAAATTTCAGCCGCGCACAACCATAAAAGGCCAGGCCATTGCAGACTTTCTGGTAGAATGCATCTCGGCGACGGAGGGAGAAAAGGCACCCGATTACCCAGTCTGGGTTCTGTATGTTGATGGAGCTGCTAACATTGAAGGGTTAGGTGCTGGAGCTGTGTTGATAGGCCCAGATGGTTTTAAATCTGAGCATGCATTGCGGTTTAAGTTCCAAACCACTAACAATGCTGCCGAGTACGAAGCCCTCATTTATGGTTTGAAGCTGGCATCCTAGCTGAAGGTACAGAGCATACAAGTTTTCAGTGATTCTCAGCTCGTGGTGGGCCAGGTAAATGGCAGTTGTGAAGTTAGGGATCCCCAACTTGGCCATTATACCTCTGTGGTCAACAGATTGAAGTCAAGATTTGCTTCGTTTCAGATCGACAAAATACCAAGAGCTGACAACCACCGAGCTGACGAGCTGTCGAAGTTGGCCTCCTTGCAGGACATTAACCCTCAGAGATCAACAATTGTCGAGGTACTCGACGCACCGAGCTACACTGATTTCACAGTCGAGTGTCAATTGCTGAGTACAGATCCCTCTACACCGAGCTGGACCACCCCGCTTATAAATTATCTACAAAGTGGCGAGCTACTTGAAGACCAGTTCGCTACAAAGGTGATTAAACGCAGGGCGGCACATTTCACTGTGTTAGATAACCAGCTCTACAAGCGAGCAGCCTCAATGCCCCTATTACGCTGCCTTACTCCTTACGAAGCTGAATACGCCGTGAGAGAAGTTCACGAGGGAGTATGTGGCACGCACATCGGTGGCAGAACTTTAGCTCGGAAACTACTGAGGCACGGTTATTACTGGCCCACTATGGTCGAGGACGCACAGAGCTATGTCAAAAAGTGCCCGACCTGCCAGTTCAATGCTGATGATATTCACATGCCAGGTATCCGAGCTCGTTCTACAATTTATGCTAACCTAGTGATTGTCTATGAACTGAGCATAAATACCTTCCTTGAAACAGGGGAAATGCTATCATCTTTTACATCTTCTTGGCCTTTTGCTCAATGGGGTGTCGACCTGCTCGGCCCTTTCATCAAAGGCAAAGGAGGCTGCACTTTCCTGGTCGTTGCAGTGGATTACTTCACTAAGTGGATAAAAGCTAAACCATTATCCACGACAACAGAAAGAAAAATAGAAGAATTCTTGTTCAATTCTATATTGTGCAGGTATTCTTTGGTGACTTAGGTCATAAATAAAATGTATGCAAACGCCGTCTTAGCTCAGCTCGGTTATTTGTGTGCAGGTTCGGCATACCTAAGCGGATTATCGCCGACAATGGGCCACAGTTTCGAGCAGCGGCGTTGAGATCGTTTTGTAACGATTATGGCATTGAGCTCGCCTTGACATCTGTGTACACTCCACAGTCCAATGGGCAATCCGAGTCCGCCAATAAAATCGTCTTGCGAGGCCTTAAGACACGTGTTTTGGCTGCGCATTCTAATTGGGTTGACGAGCTCAATAAAGTGCTTTGGTCTTGTCGCACCACACCCAGCTCGGCCACAGGCGAAACCCCTTTCAGCCTGGCCTATGGAGCTGAAGCCGTCATCCCAGTGGAGGTTGGATTGCCATCCGATAGATCAGATCGTCATGACGATTAGAATAATGAACAACTCTTAAGAGAGAACCTAGACTTTGTGGAAGAAATCAGGGAGATGTCCCGAATAAGAAACATGGCACATCAAAGTCGCGTTGCAAAATTTTACAATAAAAGGGTTCGAGCTCGCCAGTTTCAAGTTGGCGATCTGGTCCTACGTAAAGCCGGGTTAACTAACACTCATTCACACATGGGCAAGCTCGCTCCTAATTGGGAAGGCCCCTATATGGTTGTTCAAGTTAAACGACCTGCCTCTTACGTGTTAGCAGATATGCAGGGACGTCAGTTGCCTTACATTTGGAACATACAGAATATTAGAAAATTTTATAGTTAATCTGCACACTATTCTTTTATCCAAGTTGTTATTCGACAGTTGTAAACAACGATATACCGAAAATACAACGCAAATTCAAAGAAAAACTCATTTTTGTATTTCATCAAAGACGCTTACATTGAAAGTACATATGGTAGGAATCCATTGATCAAATACAGAAATGCAAAAGCAAAGTACAAAAGATTAAAGGAAAAAACCCTAAATCTAGTCATCCGTCAGATCGACGGGCATAGATGCATCAGCAGCAGCTGCAGGAGAGCGAGCTGGAGGAGACCGGGCTTCAGGCTCAAAGGCTAGTGCGCTGACGAGCGAGCTGGCCGGCACTACAGCGGCCTGAGAGTTGGGCAGGGTGCTTGATGGCTCCTGCTTAGCTACAGGAGCACCCTCCACCCAGGCATCAAAGGAGGGCAGCCCTGTTGGATCCTCCCCGTCCTCAAGGACCTCAACCGCACTGTGGCGTCGATAAGGGG